CCCGACCCCTTCCTTCACCACCACCTGCATCTCCACCTCCACCTGAAGCCTTTCGGAGTTCATGTTAAATTCAAAGGACCCAGCCAGCATAAGAAAATATGCCACATCATAAATTTGGTATATCAAAGTGCGAGCTAGTGTGTGTGTGGGTGTGTGTGTGCGGATATGGGGGTGTGTGAGCAATCCTTTCACAGACACTAGCCCACACACAGACAGATGTTGACACAGTTTCCTTGAGCTCTCCGTCTGAGCTCAGCACAAAATGTCTATTTTAATATGAACCCAAATTGAGGATTTTATTTATGCACGAGCTTAGTTTACAATACTGGGCTAGCTTTACCTCAAGGAGCTCCCTGGCACCGGCTTTTGTTTGCGACTGTACTTCTCGGTACTTTTGTTTCTAGAACTGCAAGGTTTCTCATTTTTTTGGGCCATAAAAAATCACCCAGACAAATGACTTATGAAATAACAAAAAAAAAAAAAAAACAAAACAGATACGGAATTCTATGAAAAAATATCATAATAAAAATCTCCAGCAGTTAAAATAATTGTCACAGTAATAAAGCAATGCACAAAATTATATCTGACCCTATCGAGGGGGGTTCTAAGGGTTCCTGGAGGGAATTCGATCGTTTAGAATAGGTCTATTGATTATTTGAGCACCAAATTGTTGAAAAAAACAGTTTATCATGTGAATCCATTTATTTAGAAGTTCTTTTGTAGAAATTCCCTTGAAACTGCCCTCGAAAATTGGTCTGGAAGTTGCTTACTGCCAGCAGTTACTGTGTACTCTGTGCTTTTCTGGTTGCACTTGCTCCATTTTATAGCTGGCAAACATTATGGCCATGATTAATGGCAGATAATAATTTCGAGTGCCGAGCACTTGACAGCATACGAAAAGTCAGAAAACTATGGCCAATGGACGCCCATTAGCCCTTGCCGCCCCCCGAAAAAAAAAGATGCCAAAAGGAGTGTGCAGGAATGGTAGGGTAAGCAGGATGGCCAAAGAGATACGGGATGAAAGGACAAAGTGCAGTAAAGGCAACTCTGCAAATGACTGCTGCAAAATAAACAGCAACAGCACCAGAAGCTGAAGCTGAAGCTGAAACAGCATAAAACTATTGCCATGTTCTGTTTGCGGCATTAAACGCCTCTCACTCTCACTCACTTTCGCCTTTTCCCTCGACGGTGGGATAGCCCCCTCTCTTTCACTGCATTCGGTTGCCTTCTCTTTCACTCGAGTGCATGTGATTTACTCCGACTGGCGAATAAATTATGATGAGAAAAGCGCTGGCTGCCGTTGATCAGCAAATTATTTTATGCAAATTAAAAATCATAAAAAATGGGTTATAAATAAAAGCCAAAGGGGCAGCTACACTCTGCAAATGGGAATCTCTCATTTTGTTGGGATCTGACCACTTCGGAGTCCACTGACCGCAATTTCGTTTCTGTTATGCGGCCATCTAAAATTGATTTTGGCCAAAACCCTAGCTGCCCCCCCTTGCCACACCGACCTTTGTCAGTGGCAGCTGTCACAAATGATATTTCAATTATGGTTTCACCCCCACTGAACCCCCCCAATATTTGAGTGTCCAATTGTGGCGGAAAGTCTGAACACACTTGTTCCAAAAACTATGCAACTCTTTAAGCTGCGATCCAGACCCGATCCAGGGTTTCCGGTTACAACGCCTTTTGGCTAAAAGCACTGGCCAGAGACCAGGCACCAAGGGCACAATAGCCGACAACCAATAACTGCAGCCCGAGGTGAGGCTGTGGCTTTGGACAAGCAGCCTGCAGGACCTGGGTACTTTTTAGTCTCTTTTGTGTGTGAGTGGCCGTCATAAAATTACTTTTTATCATTGTAACATGGCCAACAAGATGACGCTGTGGGATGGCCTTTTCGCCAGATGTACCGATACATACGGAATGTAGTTTTTATGACGTTTGCCACAAGGCATCCAAGGCATCCATCCATCCATCCATCCATCCACGTCGTTTCTTTATGTTGCATCAGCTAAAAGGTTGCTGATGCTGGCTCTGTTCTTCTACTAGTGCTTCTGTTTTCCTGCTACGTGCCCCTTACCAGTGCAACGTATTAATGGCTCGCATGCACGCTAATAAGCATAAACGCAAACTCAGGACGACGAGAAACTAAGACGGAGACCGGTCTTTCCGGGCATTCCGGGCGTGTGCGTGCCAAGGACCCTCGCACGACGGCTCTGACTTCATTGTGCACTTTATTAATGTTATTAAAAATCTAACAAATGCCCAGCAAGTGTGCAATGCATTCGCTGCGGTTTATTAATGCCACAAAAACGGGCAATTAATGGCCAGCCCTTGACCACATTGTTGCTGCTAATAGTAGCTAGCTGGACTAGAGGGTGCAGGACTTGAGAGCCCAAACGAAAAGGACTCGGATAAAAATGAACTCCTCACCCAATTGCTCAGCAAATTAAGCTAAAATACTCGGGCAGCCCTGGTAAACTTTCTCTCTACTATATTTCAAGAATTTTTCAAACAATTTCCCTTGCCTTCCCAAAAAAATAGAGGAGAAAAATTGAAGCTGCGACCGGAGGTAAGTGGCAAGTCCGGGCAACAGGTGGCTGTGTCTGTCCCTCCTCTTATTGACATTTTTCCTGCCTGGACGATTGTTTGCTGATGCATTAAGCAATGGAAAATGGAAACTGAGAAGGGTAAAAAAAAAAATGTTGAAAAAATAATGGATTTTTACCTTCAGCTATATGCACTTTAAAAACTAACTTCAGGGATCAAGCTTGACTTCATTCTGACTTAATTAAGACAGGTTTAAGAAGAGTCTGAAGAAAATAGGGGAAAATTCTGTCAACACCTCAGAAGAGAGCATCGGTGAGGAGCTGAAGAGACAAAGCTGCGAAAACTTCGTTTGCAGCCAAGTAAGTGTCATAGTACCAGGACACAATTGCCAGTGCCAAACAAAGCTTCTCCCTTTTCCTGACTTCCAGGACAATTGCCAATTTAGTTTAAACATTTGCGCAAAGTGCAAGTTTTTGGTCACTTCCGTTGAAACTGTTGCTGCGTCTGCTACTGTCACTTGATTTGTGGCAAGCTAACAGCAATTCCACAGGAAATTAAAATAAAGGAAAATATTCAAATAGAAGTAGAAGTTACTAGGAAGTATTGTTTTATTTAGACTTCTATTTTTTGAAACATAAAACCTTAATCCTCTAGATAGATAGGAATAATTCAGATCACACTTCTTTTGAATTTTTCACTGTGCAACTGTTAATATCTCAAGGAATCCTGCGATGCCATGCGACAACTTTGTGGCAGGATGTTGTCATTGTGTGTTTACGCGAAATGCGGTAAAAACAAAATGAGTACAAAACTGCTAAGAACGACTTCCGCCCCGCAATTTCCATGCTGAGCGGAAATGGAAAAACACTTGCAAACATACCATCACCCAGCCCAGCACAGCATCGTATAGCTACAGCCTTGTGCTGTCGTTGTGTTGCAATTAAGGCGAACACATGCAGCTTGGCCCAAAAGCAGGTCAATACATATTGATATCCATCGGACCCGGTCTGCCCATCGACTCACCGGGTGAGTGTGTGTATTTGTATGTATATTTGATGTAAAGTCAATTTGATGGGAACAGCCACCGCTGTGAGATGCTGGCTGTGGCTGACTGCTAGCTGCTGGCTGCTGGACCCCGATGCGTAATGCTTTAATTTAGTCGCAATATTGTCCTGCTGCCATTTCTACCCCCTTTTTCGGTCGCTTGCCACTTAATGGCCAATTAAGGGTAGACGACACAAGAAATAATTAAATAGCTATCGCTGCATGAACTCCAATGAACCAAGCTGAACTGAACTGAACAGTATTGAAGCTTCAAAGGGGAATGGAGGAGCGTTTCAACTTAAAGTGCCACACGGCGTATGTGCAATGTGTCCAGTGAATGAGCTTTTTCCTGGGCAGCCCGAAAGTATGCAACGCGAACAACTTGCTCCTCGAGCTATGCAAATTTAATTGGGAATTTCATAATGAGCTGGCCAGGCTCTCCGGCTCTCCAGCTGTCCTGCTTCTTCTTAATCAGAAGAACCTCGTTGGCCAGGTCCTGTTTCCAAGCTGCCCGTTTAATATTTCAAGCGCAATTATGCAGCTGCGCATTAAAAATCAAATACAACACTAAAAGTGATAGCTGCAATCAGAGCGCGGAGCTGGAGCTGGAGCTGAAGCTACATAGATCTGGAGACGTTCCGCCTTCGACTTCGTTTCGGCTCATCATAAAATTCAATTTGGCGCAAAGTGTTTAATGAAAGCACCCCATTCCCCATCCGCGGGGAGTAACTTTTCTGCCCACCCCAGGAGGTCATCTTGAACAGCCAACAACCGGGCAACTACTATGGCAGCCAACTAAAGTTTCGGGAAAGCACTGGGAAAAACACTGAATTGTTTTACATAAAAACAAGCTCGTCGGCCATCAAATTATGCAATCCCATTCTGGGGGCCAGTGCAATGGCTGTAATAAAAATTAACAAGCTACGCAACGTTTGAGTTTTGAATTAATTGACAGCGCGTATGCACAGGACAGGAGGAAAGATCAGGACTAGAGACGACAAGCCCCCCTTGGTGCCAGGACAGAAGCTGTAGCTCCAGTCAGGATGTCAGAACCAGGAGGTTATGCTCCTCCAAACACTGCGCCCTGCTTGTAAAATTATAAATTCGCATCTAAATGAACGCTGCAAAATTAATGAACTGCATGCAGTTTAATTGAAATGAACATCCACAGGAGGGACTGGCAAAGAAACTGCCAAGCTGTTGGGGGCACCAAGAGGGTAAATCATAGTGCCGGGTCGGAATTGAAGCATCGAGATTGCACAAATCTCGCCTCGTTCAGGGCGGGGATTCTGATTAACATAAAGGAAGGAATTCAAAGCCCAACTTAATGATTTTGGAATTCCAAGAGTGTTTTCTTAAATTTTTAAAATGTTTATTATTTAAATAATTTATGTGTTTCTTACCTCCATGTTAGATCCGTTTTGGACCATTTGGGTCCCTGCAGAACATAACGTCGCACTCGAATACTGTAGCCGATGTCGTGGTCCAGGTTATCCGGTGAGAAATCGTACGCATGCTGCTTGTCGCCCACACCGCATCGGGGCTGCTGTATTAGCCTGGCCGTTGCCGAGTCAATTTTCCCCGTAACTGGAATGTTGCCAAAAGTCTGCAGACGGTAATGTTAGTTGCGAAATTGTGCATAATAGATGCTAAAAAGACAGGGCCAAAATGGGGAAAAAAGGATGGAGGAGGGCGATGCTCACCTGGAGACTCCGGATTGCATCTATCAGCTGCTTCTCGGAGCGGAGCGCTCCCGTTTCCAGATCCGACTTGGGCAGATAATCAAACTGCATGAGGTAATTGTACTGCAAGCAGAGATGGATAGATACATTAGGGAAGTGTGCCAAAGGTATCTCAACAGCCCGGCCATAAGCAGGGCGGCAACAATGGGCCATAGCCGTAGCCATAGCCATAGACGATGTCTGAGCCATATGGCCGGTTTGGTGAGCCAAACAATTTGTCGTTTGCAAATGATGCTGCCAACATGACCGGCAAAAAACCCTCTCAAAAATACAGAAGGAAAAAAACAAAAAAAAAACAAAACCAAAACTTTTTGCATAAAGTTAATGATAAAAGCAACGCCAGATAGGACGGCAGGCAGTGTGGCATCCACACAGCCACATAAACAGCAACAAAAACTTTAACATTAATAACCCAAAAAGTATGCCACAGGAAAAAGTGCAAGGAAGCATTTGATGGAGGAGTGTTCGAAGAAGGAACCACCGACAGGACTTGGCAGAAATGTGAGCCATTTTCCTATCTTTTGGCAAAAATAACAAAGCTGGCTTTTAGGTCTACGTTTCTGTTAAAGGGTCTCTGTACTTCAACTTGTAATTATTTGGTTAATAAGGACTGGAAACTTTTAGCTTTAAAGGATACTCTTCCCGAGGGAAGCTCTTTCGAATATCTGTATACAAATTTGGTATTTTTGGGTCATAACTGTAGAGTGCGAAAAAAGAACCCAAATAGAACTTAACTCGATTCGATTCACTGGCCATATGCCATATGTGTGCTGCCTCTGGATTTACATATTTTTACATCGCGTGCGCGCATATTTATTAACTAACACACTCGCACTCTGGATGGGTATGGTTACCAACACTCACACCCAAACACCCACACCCTTACAGCGAAAACAAACTTGACACACACACCAGCAAATTACGTGACCTGCAAATTAAATTTTCTCTTTCATTTTCCCACATATGAGAAAATTGTCACACTCGCACTACTTTTTCTCCATCCCTACCCCTACGACAATCGACAACTTTTCGATTTCTATTTTTTGCTTTTCTTGTTATTTGTCAGTCGTTTAAAAAATTGTTGAAAAATACAAAAAAGAACTTTTGAATGGGCAAGCGATTTGCAAATTTCACGAAAAGAATCGTTAGCCAAAGTTGTGCGGTTGGATTCGGTAGGATTGGATTAGGAATGGGAATAGGAATAGGAATAGGTCTTTTGGATAGGGAGAGAGTTGTGCTGTTGGCATTCTTATACGGACAGTGGACGTGATGTGTGGCGATTAGTTGAGATTTATTTAGAATGATGAATGGCCTATCTACATTGTGTTTAGGTGCTGAAAAGTTGGCATCGTGTGTTGCATACGAAATTCCGGAATCCAGAAATCAGAAGACCAAAGTTGGCTTCGCATAACGTTACTTGAACTTATTGCTAGAGGAAAAGTTATTTTCCTTGGAAATTATTGAGGCACTAGTTTTATGATGAGTCGAAAGCTGTTTTATTTACGACTTCCAATAACTCCAAACTTCTCGAGATTTGTTTTTATAACCGAATTTCTTTAATTAAATATTTAAGTCAGCTCGTAAAGCCAGGAAACATAGAAAAGCTTGAAACATTGGGCCACAAGCTCCTAGCTGAAATGGTAAATAAAATTTTTGGCTGGCAGTTGCCACCACTTTTGTGACTCTGACATTTGAAATAAAATGAAAGGAGCTCCAGAGGTAACCACATGTTCTAGTTTAAACTGACGCTTATCAAAGCAACATTCTCTCCTGACTCTTGGCTTTGATTACTTTGCCAGGGTCTTTGCTGGTTCTCTTGGCCACCTTCGCCCAGAATGGCCAGAGGTAGCATTTTGTATGCTTCTGCCATTTTATTTATTGTTTTTTTTTTTTTTACGTAACTCCCGCAGCGGTGCAAGTGCACCATACTCTCTGCTGGCAACAAAAGGACCATTGCCAGGAGCATTGGAATATAAACCCCACACTTGGACGCTGGAAAAGGTGCCCCATAAACGAGCTTCTGGCCCCCGGTTAGTCCAGATTTCATGGCGGCACACACTTGTGTGTGTGCGTCACAAAAAAAAAAGTTGGCTACTCTAACGCTTCTTGGATTGTCACGTTGCAGGAGAACGCGTCAGCAGCAACTACGTAACGCAGTAGAGTATCGTAAGAAAGCCCGCACTGGGAAATTGAAATTCATATAACGTGCCCCCACTGCTATGTGGGGTCTCGGGCCCTGTCTCTTCCCGTTTCTTGCTTAACCCCACCGGCTACACGAAAACAATATCAATTAATATATGTACATAAGTATGTTGAAATGCAGAGACAAAATCGAGGTACAGTGGGTCCTCAAAGGGGGTATTTGAGGGGGTAAGCAAGATACCCGGTACTTCAGATACCCAAAGTATCCTTTAGTTACTCTTTAAGCAAGCTGAGTTCCAAAACTACATCATACTCGGTCTGGCCATCCAACTCTTTAAAAGGCTATTCTTTTATTTCTTAGAAATCATAAACTAAAATATGTTTAATTATGAAACCTCTTGTTATCCCCCTTAGCGTTGTTTTACTGTATTAACTGCCGAGTGGATAAGTTAAGAATAATGTGACACACAACGGAAGCCGAATGTCTAGTCGGTGGAGACATCAGCAGACGCCTAAAGTTTCTTAATGAACAAACCGACCCCACCGGCCCACCAATCGAGGTTCAGGGCCGAGACGAAGGGCCAAATGACTGAGTTCCTTTCGGGTTAACGCAACTAGTCAATTTGGCTAATCGAAGGCTTTACGGACGGTAAATAGTGGCTCGGAAAGGTGTGCCAAATGGCTGTGAGAGGCTTAGCCCGACAACGACGATGATGGGCCAACATTTTACGACGACAATAAACTATAATTCGTAGTTATGAATGAATGGGTTTCTATTTGAATGTGAATGTGAATGTGAATTAAGCGAACGAGTCTCAGGTAGAGCTCCGGCCCCATCGGATGGCCCCTCTTATGGTATCAATCATTTATGCATTGGCCTTTTGCGTTTTTAATGGGAAATTTGTGGCCCAGGCTACGTGTTTGAAAATCGGAAAGTGCAACGGAGTGGGTTGGGGATTTTGGGAGGAGGTCGGAGTACGTGGCCAAGCCATGATTCTGACTAATAGAAAAGCGTCGGTGAAGCGGAAAATGGGAAAGAGGTGAGCACGGCGTCGTATCAGAAACAATAACACTAAAACACTACTACGTGAGTATTTGTCGTGTAAACAAAATCATGTTATCAAAATATAATAACGGAAAGCAATAACGAAAAAACAATTGAGAAAAGTGCGAACTGGTCGGGGGTCACAAGCAAGTCGTCTATACATACATACGTATATATATATAGCTTTTATTTCACTTCAGCAACCCCCCCGTCACACTCTCCTACAATAATTGTGTTGGCTTAATTTAGTTAAGTTGGCGTGACACTCGGAAAACTTCTCTCCGGACCGACCCAACGTGTGGGCGGCTGGTGAAAGTGTGAAAGTAAATTGAACGATGAACGAAGCGATATGTTTATTATTTTATTGGATTATAATTATACGACAGCGGGTCACACGGAAAATAAAAATAATGGGCTTACCGAGGCGCCCCTTCGAATTAATTAATTCCAAAGGGTGGCCAGGCCAGGCTTTAATTAAAATTAAATGAACAAGGGGCCAGATAGCCGTTCGAGTTTAAAGAACATTAATTGGGGGAAAAAGATTTCTTATTATTATTTTCATAAATCATCGATTTCACAAACAGCACAAGCAGCACTGTGACCGCAAAAACAAATCATAATGCTTCATATGCTTGCCATAACATAACTCTCGGCTCTCGGCTCCACATGCGACAAAAGCTAATAAAATGCCGGCACACCGACCACCTACAAATGTCCTCGGATCGGCAGGCAAACAAACCTATAAAAATGACAGGCAACTGCAACAAACGAGCGCATCCATCTAAGCCGCCCTCCCTCTATGTATGGCAGTGTGTATGCATGTGGCACACACAATGTGTGCCGTCTGCCAAGGAGGACACTGCCTCAGATCCTGCCACAAATTCTGCAAAATGCGCAAAAGAATGGAGAAGGAGCAGACCGAGCTTGAGACCGAGCCGGAAACAGAAAACGTAGCAGCCACAAAGAGCATGAAATCGGGGCCAAATTGCCAGGATATGGACCCGAATGTGATGACTGTGGCACAACAGGTTCTTGCCACAAACAAATTTACTGCAATCGAGTGTGTGAAGTGGAACTTAAATCAATCATGCTAATGGCTTTATTGGCTTTACAGTGAAAACACAAATACGACTGTGTGAAAGTAATCAAATCGAGAGTTTATATTCCATTTAATATAGAAAATATTATGGCCATAAAGAGGCTTAAATATTTTAAGCCAATATAAGTAATAGTTGCCTCTTGTAACTCAGTTGGCTCTCGGCATTCCTCAACATTTCAGACTTCCCCATTCTTCTTTGGGGTGACCTGCTCCATTTAAAGAAACACACGTTCCCACTTTTGGATGCCCAACCCAACCCAACCAATCATTGCCGTACATTTCCTGTTGCTGTCTCATAAAAGTCTTGGATACACACGCGTCTTTTGAAACATGTGCGCGAGTCATCGCCCCAGACCACTATATAGAGTTCCACATCCATATCCCATATCCCCATATGGAGTCATCCCACCCACGCCCATTCCAGAAACTGCATCGGCTCCTTGGCAATTTATAGACTGCGAATTTTAATAAAAAGGATGTGCCAGCTAACGGCTTGCCAGCTTGGAGTGATGGACACGCCCACCATTGGAAGCATTTAATAAAAAAAAAAACAAAGCACATACACCCACACACACACTATACTCGACACTCCACACCCCTTTCCAAGGCTGGACAAAGTGAAGAGATGGTTAAATTAATTGAAATCAACATTGATTAATGTGGGATAAGAAAAGCAACGAAGTCAAAGGAAAGAGCAGAGCAGACTGGGTACTATATTATTGAAAGTTGCTTCGTTGTCCATAGAGCTGATAGTACACAGAGAGAAAGGATTTAGAA